GAGCGAAGGCGATGGTGAATCCAGCACAGAGAACGAGAACGAAGAGGAGGAGGAAAGCGAGCTGGCCCAGGTGGATTTGTTGAGGCAGAACAACGATGAGGAGCTGCTCCGCCAATTACCCACCTGGTACGATGCCAAGTACGCGTACTCTGGTCTGCATAGCATCCTGATCCCACCACCAGCGGATCTTAATATTTGGAACTCGCAGGTGGTGCCGAACTTTGCGATGAACAGATCCGCTGCCAGTTGTTTCTTCTGTTTTGATCGGTACGCGGAGCTAGAGTGCCAGTTCTATAGGCGTTGGAACCTCAGTCAGCGCAAACACAAAAAACGGGCCAGGAGCGGTCGATTCGTCGTCTGTGAGTGCTGTCCAACTTCCGACGACGACGATGACTACGATGAGAATATATCCTTGGCACACATAGCGGCGGCGGAAACGGCCAAGCGAAGACAGCAGCTCAGCACGAGTTTTCCACGCAAACTGGCGCGCACCCAGGCAGGATGGTATGGCAAGGGCTATAAGAAAGGCAGGAAGCGACGGTAGATTCCCATTAATGTACGGCCGTGATCCCTCTCTAAGATAAAAAGGTGGAACAATTAACCTTGAGTCAATGGCTTTTTGAAAACGTTTGATCTTATATTTGATATGAGTATGTTTCTTTTTTACGAAAAAGATCGACCTGCCCTCACCGAGACATATGCTCGCTTCGATAGTATTTTAGCTATAGGATCATAAGTCATAGATGATAGTGCCAGTTAGAATAGGATATGGTTCCTTTTTATTTATACGTGTTTTTTTAAATTACCCGTTTGTCAGTCCTTCACTTCGTTTTTGTCCATTTTTGATATTTACTTTAATTTTAATAGGTTCATTGTGTGTCACAATTGTGTAACTCTTGTCTTGGTATTTTGGTGCACTTTTTGCAGAAATGTATCAGCTAAGTTTTGTCCTTGTTTTAAATTATTTATATAGGTTTTTACTTAAGAGCGCTAACCTAACATCCGCCCCTAAAAATGTAAGTTAAATAAAGAAACTAAGCATTATGGTATAATGATTTTTTATATGAATCCTTTTACTTCAGTTACTAAAACCAAATAGGAATAAAACTGCATTAGATTCGCTTTCATTATGTGTAGAACCAAGTTTATTCATTAACTTAAACATAAAGTATTGCTATTTTAGTTATAGTTTAGCGATCCCGTGTGAGTGAGTGTTTGTGTGTTATTAGGCATTCCATGCTGGGAGCGACCGGAGACAAAGAATTGGCTTCCCCATCAATCTTCAGGAGGTGTGTGAGTCTCACGTGGAACATTGCAAAATACCCAAGAATCAACAGAAGACCAGGCAACGGAAACGAACAAGGGAGAACTACACACATAGAAAACAGCAGGTTGATTAGATTAACGCTATCGATCGATATTTCTCGGGGGCAGGGCGTGGTCGTGGTCGTGGGCGTGGAATTTCCAGGGTGCAAGTAGCGCACAAAACATAATACCTAGAGCTACGCAGAGCAGCCAGTGGGCCAATATAAAAATACAAAGTTTCACAAATACAGATGCATATATGAATACAGGACGTGGACACGAGAAACGACTGCCGATTGGAGTGTGGGTCTTTTAAATGCTCTGAGGACGCAATGTCAGTAGCGAATCACGTTTCCATATAATACAATTATCCAATTCCGTAGACAGAAAAAAGGGCGCGTGCTTTGAGCACGTCGGCGTTGAGATTAAAATCGCAGCAGCGATAGTTTTTGAATAGTGAGGGAATGGAAATGAGAATGACTGCATTGACGGGACTTGAGACTAGAGCCGGGATCAGGAGCAGCTGCTTAAGCTACATAAATAAACATGTTGATATCGTCGTCGTCCCGTCTCATATACTTGTTCTCGATCAGCCACTCCAGCTGCTCCTTGATCATCTTCTTGGACGGCAGGAACATGTTCTTCAATATATCGATGAGTTCACCCTGTGGAAAAGATTTTTTTAAGTCCCTTGAGCGGCATAACTAGCTATCGAACTACAAACCTGCAGCGCTGCGTTGTTCATCCGCTTGCGCACTTTCATGATTTTGATAATGGCCTCTTGTGTGCGCAGAATGCGCAGTTGCACAATGGACTGATTGTCCTCCTGCTGCGAGCGTTCCGTGCTCAATTGCAGGCGCCCTATAAGATTAAGCTGCGGGGGAGAAATCTGGTTATGAACTATAAGATAGGTAATATTTATATTCACCTTTCCACGGCGCTGGGACTTGCCATTCTTGACAATGGCAAACTCCTGATTAATATAGAACATTGTGTTCTCGGCAAAGTCCTTGGGCGAACTGATGGCCACCGGTTCCATGAGCAGGATCTGTTTCTTAATCTTGGGAAACGCCACCAGCGACCACAACGTTCGCCTCAGTTCGGGATCTTAAAAGTACACAACTAATTAGCACGGAAACGTAAAGTAAATATGCAATCCTAACCTGGTAGTTCTGTGGCCAGGCGGAGATTCTCGTAGGAAATTTTGTCGTGCTGACGCTGATTCCAGGCAAACAAGACGGCCATCTGGAAAGTGGTCACATCCAGATCGTAGCGCCCAAAGTTATTCACAAAGGTAATAGTGCCATTGCTCATGTGATGGTACCACTGCAGCTTACGGCCGGAATGCTTCTTCTTGTAAAACTCCTCCACATCTGGAATATAGTCCTCTAGCTCGATGGGCAGTGAGACCGAGACACGCTCCGAGCAGCGGGCCCAGGCACCAGCATTGAGTATTTTTATGTTGATAGCATCGTGCCGACTTATCGAGGTGCGGAATTGAGTATTTAAATCTTCGCTGACCTGCATATGAAAGGGGAAAATGAATAAACAGGTCCCAAACATCAATCTGGTAGAACCCACCTTTATGTCCTGGAACATGCGTGCCAGCCGATTCACGTAGTCCGCCGGCATGCCCACCTCTCGCAGCCACTCGACAATGTCCTCCTCCTTTTCGCTGTCCGCACTGGTGCCCAGAATCAAGCTGTAATTGGAGGGAACAAGAAAATGATATCAATGAACTGGGAATATTCTGAATATTGTCTGAGTTGAGTAACCTTGCAATCGAATAAATCATATTTACTTTTCCCTGTACAGTTTTTTAAAGTACTCGCTTCAATTATATCATTAAGAAGTCAACTTACCGTCTCGTCAAATGAACTTTGTGATAGCGCATAAAGACGTCCTTGTTGTTTACGTACTTCAGGACCAGCAGGACATCGCGCAGACGGGCGTCGATCTGTTCGCTGGTGAGGCGCTTGCTGAGCGGCGTTCGCCGCAGCAGCATGTCGCAGTAGTTTGCCAGTAGTTCCGGACATTTGCTCTCCGGCGCTGTGTATTTTACACCCCGATTGGCGATACTCGTGGGCAGCTCCATCTTGAACACGCTGGTGTCGTTGACTACCGTCTTAAAAGCTATGTCGCGGGCAGTGAGGAAGCGGGGATCGTCATTGAAGGCGTTGCGCACTAGGTCGCTGAACTTGTTGAAGAGCTCAAGAAGCCGTTCAACGTACTTTTCCGAGTCCTGGGTGATCACCTCTGAAGCGGACAGCATATCGGCCAGTCCGGCGGACATGATATGCCGCTGCAGGTCACCCATCATGGCCTCCACGCCCACGCCATGCATCACCCGATCCATCAGGCGGAACATGAGATTCAATCGCTCCGTTTCATAGTCCCTGATTAAAGCCGGACACTCGGCAATGATGGAGTTCAGGTGATCTACTATAAGCACCTTGACCAGCGTGTAAAAGAGTATATTGAAGCTGCTGGGCTCCAGATACCGCTTGGCCCTGACCTCCTCCTCACGTAACTTTAAGTCAGCGTATTTCATGTAGGCCAACACTCCGTTTTCCTGCTGTTGCTCTGCGGATTTCAAGCGATAGAACTCGGCCGTGGCCTTAAGGTACGCCATCTCAAAGTTCTCCCTGTAAATCTCTAGTTTGTCCTCTGCATTCGAGGAGAGATTCACATAGCTCTCGCGTACCCCTACTACTAGCTGGGCATCGTAGGCATCGCCGTTCCGCTCGGCGTGCACAATCTTCATGGCCGACTCCTGCAGGCGATGTTTGATGTCGTGGAAGATGTGCTTGTTCCACGAGTCCAGCATGAGTTTTCGTACAGGACTGTCCTCCGTGGGGTTTTTCTTGGAAGTAGAGGTGCTGCTGCTGGTGCTCCCACTTCCGGAAGCTACTGCAGCTGCCGCTGCTGAGCTTGTGGAGGCGGATGTGGAGGCTGCAGCAGCGGCGGCTGAAGTGGAGGCTCCAGCTGTGGCTGAGGTGGAGGCTCCTGACTTTCCAGCTTGCCCGCTACAGGATGAGGTTGCTGCCGCCGCAGCGGCACTCGTACTCGCTCCCGAAGCGGAAACAGATGCGGAGGAGCTGCTGCCACTGGACGAGGGCTTCACCTGGGGCGACTGCTCCAGCTGGCGGAAGGGCAACGGCAGGTAGTTGGACTGTGTAAAGAACTTGCGCCACTCTACAATGTAGGTGGCCAGAAGGGCTTGCTCGCCCCGTTGCGCTTGCACCTGGCTTTGGGCCTGGACGATGAACTCAACGATGTCCTGCTGCAGGCAGTCGTAGATCTTGGCCGCACCCTTCTCGTCCCACAGGCACACGAAGTGGACGCCGAAGAATAGGTCCTGCCATTCGCGCTGCGACACCGTATCCTGGCGCAGCAGCTTCAAAACTATTCGCCTTTTGTCCGGCCAAACCTCCTCGAAGATGTCCCTGTCCCGTTTCCCGATTGCCTGCCGTACAGGAAGATATAGGTGCATACTGAACTCTATATACGTTTTAATCGCCGATCAGGTCACTTACCCGTAGCATTTTGATCGTAGCAATCTCTTTGTTTTTGTTGCTGCGTCCGCTTCACTTCATTTATATTTATTTTTTGTAATTAGGCGATACGATACGATAGTTGGCTATCGACCAGTGTTGGTAAAATACCGCGAAATGGGCTTATCGCCTAATCGACCAATCGATTTCGGGCAGTCGATACAACAACAGTTCGGAGTGCAGCAAAAGTGCGGGAAATCTGCGGAAATGCTATTAATCGAACATTAAGGGATAACTCGCCCAGCCGCGGTAATAATAATCAAGGAGAAATGGAAAATAATACAAAGTTGTCTTGTCAAGGGTTTTGTGAAGTTCGCTAGTTTGCCCAGTTCGTTTTGCTTTTTTTCTTCTCTACCTCTTCGTGCGCGAGTGAGACGAAATCAGTACTAGCAGACATCTCGCTCTAGCACACGTCCCCGACCTAATGTCTGGTCTGCATTGTTTTCAGGGTTGTCAGATGTCGCGATATACTCAGTTCCGTATTTAAAAATATCGTTTACCATTTCATGTTGTGTTATAAATATGTAGATTTTAGTGCGGAAAGTTTTATGGTTTTCTTTATATTCTCAATTGATTAACTAGTAAAATAAAGTTATTTATCTACCTAATTTTTTTACGTTAGTGCCGTCCCGCTGTTTATTTACAACCAGAAAAAGGTCTACGCAGACAGGTGTCAACCCTAGATTTCATAGTTTATCGTAAACAACGCGCTTAAATTGTTATAAATCACTAAACGGTTTCAGGACTGTTATTAAGATGACTATTGTATTTATTAACAATGAATTCTTGAACAAAACCATAATTTTGGAGTGAAAACAATCGATGGCTGCGAGGCAAACATCGATTCTGTCAGTTTTCTAGATACATCGATAGTATCGAATAACCATCGGCTTCTCTTCCAGCTCTAGCATTCATCATTTCCCTTTGTTTGCGGCGGCGGCGCTCGTTGTACGGCCGTGCGAATCGAAAGAAAATCGCATTAAATCGCGGAAAGTGCACAAGCCCCGTGCGGCAATGTAAATAAACAAGGCTCTGATGAGCAGTTGCCGATCAAGTGCTTCGATTAGCCAGCAAAATGTGCGTAGAAGGCGAGATTCAGTGACGAAAACAACAACTACGTGCTGCTGCGTTCATTGACGTGACGCGCGAGCGTGAGTGTGTGCGTGCGTGTGTGTTTGTGTGTGTGTGCTGGCTGCTGGCGAGTGCGTGTGTGTGTGCTCCCCATATGTGTGTTGTCGAAAAGCGTTTTTCAAACAACAAGCCAGCAACAAACAAATCACAACAGCACGTCACAAATTGCAATAGAAGCAGAAGCAGCAACACCTCAAATTCAATAAAAAGGCCCCCCAACAACAGCATCTGTCGTGTTCTCAGAGAGTGAGAAAAAGAAAGAGCGTGCAAGAGTGAGAGAGGGGGCAAAAAGAAAGTCAACAGTCGCGTGTGAAATGAAATTCGAAAGATGCCCGCGTGTGTGTGTGTTGAGTGTATAGAATTGAGTAAGAAGCAGCGCGGCAAAAGGAAATAAGCAAAAGCAATAGCCAAGAGGAACCAACAACCAGCAGCAACAGCAGCAACAAATTAACCAATGAATCAATCAAAATTGGCATAATTTGCATTCGCCGACGTTATTGTCTCTAAAACCCCCCTGAAAAAACACCACACAACAGAAGAGCAGCACAAATCTTTTGCCAATGAGTCGCAGACAGTCATTGGATCGACCAGGTGAGAAAATGCCAATCACACACACATTAAAAAAAAAACTACGAATAGAAAAAACCAAACTCGTAATCACGCTTTCTGAGAGCGAGAGCGAGAGCATGCAGCATCCGATTCTGATTTTAAAAATGCACTTGCGCACGTTCTCTTGGCCGCTATTCTCGCTGCTTCGCTCTCGCTGCTCTTTCGGGCTAAAAATAAATGCTGGCTGCGCAGCTGCTCCCAAACACTTGAACTTTGTAAACACCTCCGACACTCCAACAATTCGGCCATTGTACAGTGACAAAAACCAGCGCAATTATGAGTTTTCATCAAAAAACAAAATCACTGAAAACTATAAATGAATGCAAGGGGCGGCTGTCCGCTCTCCACTCGCTCGCCATTCTATTTTTAACCTGAGTTTCATCACTCTCGAGCGGGGAAAAGAGAAAGTATCTGTCACTGTCTTAAGCAGATGTAAATGTGCCTCTGATAGCCATAGCATTTATGCACTGTGTGTGCATGTGTGTGTGTGTCTGGGAAGAAAGCAGCAGATCACAAAATCACCAACTTTGGTTTGTCTGTTTGTGCTTTGTTTTCGCCAGGGCAATTAGTATTATGGCCGAATAATTCCATGGTAAAAGTCAGTCGCTTGAAACTCGGTCTGTTTTGTTTGAAGCACTTATCGGAAGTTCATACAAATGGAACAAAATGCTTAGAAAAAAGTTCTTTAATATGTTCTATATACATAAAAGATTCAAAGTAAACTTTTTAAAATGCATTTAGCTATCTGCTGCTATAGCTATGTATATAGCTCATATACTCAGCTAATTAGCTATTAATCTATTCAGCTAGCTCTGAAAATATTTTTGTGATTATTCTTTAGATTTAGTGTTGGAAAAGAATCTATATCACAAAAACAACGATAGTATTGGGCTTAGACATAGCTGCTTGGCGTTGAGGAATGCTGTCCACTTATCAGCTGCAATTAGCGATGAATGTTGAATGCAAGCCGTGCATTGCTAGGGAACTCAGACTGTCCGGCCCCTCCACACGCACACACACTAACATTCACGTAACACATACACACTCCCACGCTATGTTCCTTTAATTTATTTATAACATTCAATGTGAACTCTACTCAAGCGCCAGAGCCAAACGGCACAAACAATTTTCGATGCAAGGCAACAAAAACAGGGGACCAGCAGTCGCGTTTGCTTGATTTTTTTATTATTTTCCACTTTGTAGGTCAGGGTTGTCGTGTGTAATGTAAAACGTGCCAGCAAATTGAATGAATAAGCGTGGCTATTCCACTGCAAGTGCATTGACAACAATTGCAGGGTATTGCCAGAAACTAAAGCCACAGCCAAATAAATAAGGCATAGAATAAAATCTACTGTACAGTACTGTAGTGTGCCATGCTTAATTGGTGTATAGAATTTCGCGTGATTGCCAATTGCAGTTGATAACCGGTTTGCGTCGGGCTAAACCCAACTCGATAATGATTTATGTTATTCCCCAATGACTTCCGTTTCCACTTATATTAAATGTAACCAGCCTGTTGCTTTATTTTAACTTGTAAACTATAGCAAAAATATATAGCACGATAAGCTGAAAATATGCCATTTTGAATATTTTTGGATACGTTTACTATATGATAGTTTGCATTAGAAATTTCTTTATTGGTTAAAGACTAAACAAATTAATTCAGAAGTGACAACGGATTTTTTTTTACCTATAGTGCTCGTCTTGCTGCGATTTCCTAATCTGCACTGACCCTATTTCCACGCACTACCCGGAACGTTATCGATATTTACACTGTTTACATGCGATACGATGGTGGTTATACAAAGACGTGTTGGCAGTGTGTACACTGGAAATGTTTTCCATCTACCGGTTGATGGATTGTTATTATTGCGGCCGGGGCATAACGCTCTGGAATTTGGGTTTAAACTCGATTTAGAAAGCGGATCGAGGGAATACACCCTTGGCATTCATTTGGTGGAGGCGTTGCGGCCAATCTGATTCGATTTGTTTTGTTATTGCCTCGATTTTCGCGCTGTCTTCTTCGCGTTGACGCGTGACAAAGAGTCATTAAGTTCTGTTTAAGGTGAAATCGATTTTCCGGGCCATTAGGCGCCATTAGAATCGACGCTTATTTGAATTTTCACATTGTTTAATTATTATTGCGACGACAACTTTGGTAGGCATTATTTATTAATCAATAAACAAAATAAAACCTTATCAAGGTTATTTTTTATTATATTTCGTAATGTCGACATGTTTATGTGGAATTTACTAGCTGATAAGCAGTAACTTGTTGCCTTTTTCAAGTGCAAATACCGTAGATGTTGGATAATTTATTAAAGAAATTTATCATTTACAAGGTATCTGGTTTTGTTTAAATAATAATGAAAAATCGTGACTCAGCTCGTATTTCTATGAAATTTCGATGACTCATTAGAGTTTCTTGTATGCAAAGTAATTTGTATGTGTATTTGCCTAAAAGGGCTAATATCCGGGCTATAAAGAGCTTAGCTAGAAGTGATTCCTCATGCTCGGGGTATTACACTCGTTATAAATGGTATTTTGCTTATCATCGGAGCGACATACTCCCTTTCTTCCCCCCGACGATATTCGAGTATTTTCTCAGCGAACTGGAGTTGTTATCAGTGCAATTGTTGCTTTCTTGCGCCTAATTGCTCTTGACTTTTTCGCTTTTGTGCAAAACGACGAGTGCCGAACGGGGCCAAAAACAATGCTGTGGAATAGAAATTTGATTAGCATAACGCAGGCGGACTCCTTATGGCAGGACTCCAAAAACCCCCCACTAGCAGTGCCAAACATCGTCATCCTCGAGTCACATCATTAATCTTGACGCACAAAAGGGTCTCGACCGCCTTCTTGGCGCACTAAGAAGGAGCAAAAAGTTGTCAAAAGTTGCCAAAGCAACGCACCGGGCTATTAACTCCCCTCTCGGTCGCCCAGTACTTTTGGCCCACTCGCACTCTCTGTTTCTACGCTTTTCCCTAATGAAATTGCTTTGATTTCTCGAAAAGCTGGTAAAGTTTTCTCATCTAGCGTCGAGACTTTTGCAGCAGCAAATTACATGAATCCTTGTGGCTTTTCCTTTTCTGTTTTTCTGGAGGTTGACACTTTTTTGCGGGGTTAATAACGATGATTGTACAGCTAAATTAATAACAATGGAGATTCCTGGTGCTGAGCATGAATAATAATAAATATTTATTTATTTATGAAAGGAAAACTTGCTCTATAACTACAAAAACACATTAAACCACCTTATAAATATCATTTACATCTCTACAATTTGTTCAGAATTATTGAGAACAACTATTGTTTATTATATATTCGCTTTGAATTAGCTTTTTAAATTGGGGAAAATGAGACACCAAGATAATCAAATTATACCCGAAAATGCGGCGAGTCCTTGGGGTTGGCCATTTGGCGGTTGAGTTAAAAGTTGACACTTCTTTTTGGGGGTTAATCGCGACGCTGGCTGTGGCTGTGCGATGTGTATCTATCTATTAAAAAATCGGGGCGAGTCGAAGTGGCCAAAAGACGATGTGGAAACGACGACGTCGACAATCGCGAGTGCGCTCTCAGGAAATTGTTTTTGGGAGCACGTCGGAATTAGCGCCAATAACAATGGGCATGCGAATGCGTCTGCGAATGCGAATGTGAGCGGGCCAGTCAGCAGATGAAGTCTTGTGGCAAAGTCAATTTCCCCTGGGAAAACGAAAAATTCTTAACAGACACCAAAGAAAAGGAGAATTTCTTGGGGCCCCATATTATTAGCTCAAATCGATGAAATGAATAGTTATGGAGAATTTAAATGGTACTTCTGATTTGCTCAAGTTTGTAAAATAGCAACCATAAAACCACTAACTTAACTGATGCCATTATATTTTCACTTTTTATTAAATTTATGAAAAATATTAAATATATATGTACATATGTACGTAGCGCAAAATTGTAGGCAATACCTTTCCATTTCCCCATTGCGTTTACCAACACTGCCCAGCTAGTCTGCGGCTTCATGTCGTTCATTGCTATAGAACATTTGAAATATTTCCCCCGCCTAATCGTCCAATTTCCGATGCTGTCCATGTATCATCCTAGCCCGGAATCCCCACTGCCGGTTGCCAGTGGCTGAACTAAACTGAATGGGAGCCAAAAGGGGGTCAGACACAGGCTAGGCATAAATTATTTCAAACCCCCCAAATGTCTAATATGGCGGCGACGGATATGCGAATGCTTTCCGCCAGTTGGACGAGCACCGCACAATTAGGGATAGCTGTTTAGGAACTTTCAAATTTTCAGGAACTGCGCTAGAAAGACATTTCATATGAATGTATGAATGTATCATTAATCAGGAAAGTTTCAGTTAAGTGTACCCCCAAGCACAATAATAAAGTGTGGAATTGAATCAACTTTGGGCTCTAATTTCCCAACCGCCAATGTTGTTTTCCGAGCGAGAGTGGCCCACTCCCTCCCCTCCAATCGATTCGGTAACAATTGTTGTTGCTTGTCCGTTCTGTGCTGTTTTCATTAGGGGTTATTCCGGTTTGATCTGCAGCAGAGGACGAACAATGGAGGTGGAATGGAGCCGGCAGTGGGAACACAAATCCAAACTAAATCCCAATTCCAGACCAGAACTCGTTGCTCACCTTCGTTCGCAGGACGAGCACACACACACACACGCACACATGCAAGAGGTCCTTTCCTCTCCGCGTGCGTTTCATCTGTCATTTATCCCGTTTGTTTCTCCGCTTGTTGTTATTGCTGCTTGCTGTGCGTGTTTTTTGGCTCTCTGGAGAGTCGAGAGGTTTTTGATTTTCGACATGTCGCTGCTTCTTCAACCCTTTTTTCAATGTATTTGTGTGTGCTTGTGCATGCATCTGTATTGTGTGCGTGTGGAAAGTTTTGCATTTTTATTATAGATAATTTGTGTACAGGTTTTTTGCGGCTGCCGCGCAAACTCCCAACTTTTGAACCTTCTGGTTGCT